AAAAAAAAAAAAAAAAAAAAAAAAAAAAAAAAACAACGAACAAATAAACAAAGACGAGACTCAAAATATGTCTTAAAATAAGAAAAATAATAATAAGTAAAAAATACACAGAAAAGGTTAGCCAGTGGAAAAGATGAAAAAAAGGAAAGATACAACAAAAAAGAAAAGTGGAAGAAGATGAAGAAATAAAATGCTTTTTATCTTCTGATAGGCCAAAAACAACTTGGCAACAAAACGGTACTGACGACAGCAATGGCTCACTGTAGCAGCAACAGTATCGGTAACACAAAACTGCTTACCACACGTACCGGATACATGCAGAAGCACAGGCTCAGATTCTAGTGAAATCAATTCAGATCAGCAAGCAACCAACTAATCGGCTTGCAATCATCCAATCTCCTATACCCGACTAACTACTGAAACCCCAATACCAGTAAACTGTTGTTCACTAAACTCAACTTTTTCCTATTGTCTTATATACACATAGAATATGTACAGATGTGAGTGAAAAAGCTTTAAAACAAAAAATCTATATAAGAATCTCCAATTACCAGAACGTTAATGATTTCCTCAATTTTTTTTTACATTTTTTGGCTCTTCTAATATTTTTGTCACTGTTACTGTTGTTGTTGCTACTGCTGTTGATTTTGCAATTAATTTTTTTTTGTTTTTCTACACTATTTCATTTAAGAGCAAAACAAAAGAGAACTTTTCCCCGTAATCTATAAATAAATAGCAAAAAAAAGAGGAAAAAAAGAAAGAGGTTCAGAAAGAAATGAAAAAATGAAAAAACGGCAAAAGAAAGAAAGGAACAAAAACAGTATTAAAAAAATGTATTCATAAAAAACAAAAAAAATTACCTGCATAAAAGTGAGACTTAATGCTAAAAGAAGGGAAAAATGGCGTTTATAAACAAGAAATGAATAAATAAATGACGAAACGAAAAATAACTATGATAAATATTTCTACCTAAAAAATGCTCTCAAACAACTTTCTTGGATGAAATAATGAAAAAGAACTATAAAATAACAGGTACAGTATAGTATTTTATCTCCAAAAAGAAGTT